CATGGGTGTGGGCGTGTCCTGTGTGTGTGCTCACATGGGTGTGAGCGTGTCCTGTGTCTGTGCTCACATGGGTGTGAGCGTGTCCTGTGTGTGTGTCCACATGGGTGTGGGCGTGTCCTGTGTGTTCTCATTTGTGTGCACATGCGTGGGTGCTTGCATAGGTGTGCTCCTGCATGTGTATGTGTGTACTTTGATGTGATTGTGTGCACACGTGTGTCTGCATGGGTGTGAGTACACTTGCAGTAGTGTGTGTGCTGTACTGCACCTGCATGAGTTTATAGGTGTGTACATGTGTGTGTCTGAGTGTGCGTGCACACTTGTGCATTGTAAGAATGTGAGCGTGGTTCTCTGTGTACGCTCCTGTGTTGGACACGTGTGTATCTGGGCGGATGTGGGTGTGAGCGTGTGTGTACGTGTAATAGTCATTACTTGGGGGAACCCGACAGCTGAACCTCTAACTCTGCTGCTGGGGTCGCACCAGGAGCCTCATTTGAGCGCTGACCCCAGGGTCCAGAGCTCATGGACAAGACCTTTGCTGTAGGCCAGCTCTGCCCAGACGTGCTTCACATCCCAGCCGGCCCTCCCCACTTGCGGCCTGGTGGCAGTCCCCTCACACTGGCACCAGAGACTGACCAGTAGAGAGGTGGCCAAAGGTCCCTTGGGAGGGATGTGGCCCTGCCTAGGGCCATGTGAGCAAGGTTGGGTGGGCTGGCCCTTCCTAGTCCCTTTCCCAGGCGGTTGGGGTTCCAAGACCGTGCCCCCCTGTCCCCAGGTCTCCACAGGGAACCTCCTGGTGGTCCTGAGCCGGCACTATCAGGACGTGGCCTGCCTGCGGTTCACAGGGGACAGCAGCCACTTCATCTCGGGGGGCAAGGACTGCCTGGTTCTGGCCTGGAGCCTCTGCAGGTAGTGTCCTGTGTCCTGGAGCTCTTAGGGTGGGGTCCTGGCTGAGACCTCCAGGAAGTCATTCTCTAAGGACATGACAAGGGGCTGAGTGATTGTCCTTGTGGGGCCTCTGAGGCCATGGGGGAGGGGCTGGAGGAGGGAGGGCAGAACTGACCACCCCCTTTGTGTCCCCAGCGTCCTACAGGCCGACCCCTCCAGGATCCCTGCCCCCCGCCACGTCTGGTCGCACCACACCCTGCCCATTACAGACCTGCACTGTGGCTTCGGGGGACCCCTGGCCCGGGTGGCTACAGCCTCACTGGACCAAACAGTGAAGGTGTGACCCTCACACCTCTTCCCTGTCTTCAGCTCTGGGGACTTCCCTGACCCCCTCAGGCCCCAGCTGTGGGAGCTCCTGTGACCACCCTGCCCCCCAGCTCTGGGAGCCCTTTGACCCTCTGCTCCCTGAGCTCTGGGAGCCCCCTGGCCCCCTGCTCTCACTCCCCACCTCTGGGGGCTCCTCTGACACCACCCTGCCCCCCAGCTCTGGGAGCCCTTTGACCCTCTGCTCCCTTGCCCCACAGCTCTGGGAGCTGTCCTCCGGCGATCTCCTGCTGTCTGTGCTGTTTGACGTGGCCATCATGGCAGTGACCCTGGACCTGGCCGAGCACCACATGTTCTGTGGTGGTGGGGACGGTTCCATCTTCCAGGTGGACCTGTACACCTGGGTGAGTGGGCCGGGTACAGGTCCCCCTCTCCCTGGGGCTCCCAGCTCCCAGCCTCACCACCCACGCCTCACCACCCACGTCTCCCAACAGCCCGGGCAGAGGGAGAAGAGCTTCCACTTGGAACAGGAGAGCGGGAAGGTCTTCAGAGGACATAGGTGGGTGGGGTGCTGGGGGGGGGGGTGGCAGCCAGGGGCATGAGTGGAAGATAGGTGTGTAGGGCAGGGTGCAGGGGCTCAGGCGGGAGGCCAGCAGTTTGAGTGGGAAGGATGGGGTATTGGGTGAGGTGTTGGGGACTTGGGCAGAGAGACTGAGGACTCATGCAGATTTAGGGGGGCGAGGGTGCGGTGCTGGGGGCTCAGGTAGGACTTGAACAGAGAGCTGGGGTCTAGGGGGGAAGGCCAGGGACTTGAGTGTGATAGGGGACTTTGGGCAGGGTGCCGAGAACTTGGCTTGGGATATCAAGGGCTCAGGCAGGGAGACTTGGGGCCTCCGGCTTGGATTGGGGATACTCGGGTCCAAGGAGCAGCTGGTAAGTTCTGTCATGTCCATTGGCAGTGGGCCTTCAGTCATGTCCCTAACCTTGTCTGACCTCAGGAACCAGGTGACCTGTCTCTCTGTGTCCACTGACGGCTCCCTGCTGCTCTCTGGCTCCCACGACGAGAATGTGCGGCTCTGGGACGTGCAGAGCAAGCAGTGCATGCGCACCGTCACCCTCAAAGGTGGGCAGGGACGGAGGGCCTGGGGACCGGGCAGGGGAGGCACCCTCAGAGGTGGGCGGGGATGGCACCGGTGACGTGAGGAGCACACAGTCACCCTCAAAGGTGGGCGGGGGAGACGGGCGGGGGTGGTGTGCACATCGGCATCCTCACAGGTGGGCTGGGGAATACAATATGTCCCTCAGAGATGGGTGCAGTGTACACAGGTGACCCTTACAGGTGGGGGGCAGGTACACAGGTGTCCTCAGAGGACCTTGGCCCTTGGGCCTCCAGGTCCTTGCGCCCTTGGCTTGGCAGACAGATGCTCTCCTGGGGCCCAGGGTTGGAGGCTGACCAGCACCCTCCACAGGCCCCGTGACCAACGCCTTCATCCTGCTGGCCCCGGTGTCCATGCTGAGCTCGGACCTCAGGCCCAGCCTGCCGCTGCCGCACTTCAACAAACACCTGCTGGGGGCGGAGCACGGGGACGAGGCGCGCCGAGGGGGCCTGACTCTGCGCCTCCACCGGCAGGTGGGCATATCCTCCTCCCCACGACCTCCCGGGTGGGGGGTGACGGGTGACAGGTGGCTGTGCCCACACACGGGCAGGGGGCAGGACCAGGTATCCCTGGCATCCCCTGCGGCTGTGCAGTCAGGGTTCGAGACCATCACAGGTCAGTCTGGATGGGGAGGCTCCAGACATTCCACACCTGGGCGGGGCCAGGGGAGAGCAGGGTATGTGTGTGTCTCTGTCCTCTGTCCAGAGTGTCCAGAGGTGGGGGGTCCTCAGCCCTATCCCGCCCTCACGGGTCCGCGGGGGTGGGGGCAGAAGTGAGGGGCCTCCCACCTACCTCCATGGATTCCTGACTCAGGGCAGATCCCAGAGCCCTGTTGGGGGGTGCAGAGACCCCCCCCAGAACCCCTCCCTGATGCCTTGAGGGTACTGATCTGCCAGTTGGCCCCCAGAGGCCCCTCACTCCACTGCACACCCCCGTCCCGCCAGTCGGTGCTGTCCCCCCTTCCCAGCAAGGACCAGAAGCACGAGTGGGGGGATGTGGGGGACATCGAAGGCTAAGCGGGGCGCTCTGACTTTACCCCCCCCCAGACAGTTCTTGCTTCCTGCCCTGCGCCCCCGCCCTCCCATTCCCCTGCCACACTTGGCTCAGACCTGACTTGAAGTGGGGAGTGGGGCACAGACAGGTTTGGGGGACCTGCGGTGCTTGTGGTGCTCACTGACCGCCTCTGTCCCAGGGTTCAGAGCCCAGTTACCTGGAGCGAGTGGAGCAGGTGCAAGAGGTCATGTGCAGCGCCATGGAGAAGGTGGGCTGGGCGAGGACCCGTGGAGAAGATGAGAGGGTGTCATGGAGGGTTGGGGGGCCTGAGGGAGGGGCAGGCAGGGAGAAGGGGGCGGGGCCGTGGGGAAGCAGTGGCCTCCTGGTGCCCTGGTGGGGCCGTGGAGAAGGTGGGCTGGTTGAGGGGGTGCTGCTGAAGACGGGACACCCTTTCCTGCCCTCGGACCTGCCCTAAGTACAAGACGGGTCCTTGCTGTGGTGGGGGCGGGCCCCGCAGTCTGAACACCCCCACGCGCCCCTAGAACCTGGGCGGCCAGGACCAGCTACGCGTGCGCGTGACGGAGCTCGAGGAGGAGGTGCGGAACTTGCGCAAAATCAACCGCGACCTGTTTGACTTCTCCACGCGCATCATCACGCGGCCGGCCAAGTGACTAGCTCTGCAGGGAGGCCAGCTGGGCCCGGTGACCGCCCGCCGTCTGCTGGGGCCCACGGCCACACTCTTCCGTTTCTGTATCTTGGTATCTTCCACCCCTCCCCCCAGACGGGGTGGCCTCCGGACTGGTTCCCTTGGGACACTTTGTTTCCTGTTGGTATGTTTTGATTTTTAAGAAAAAAGTGACATAAGCTACTCGTACCTTCTGATCCCTGCACCCCCACCTGCCTGTCCCTGCGATCGGGGATGGGTCGCCGGCGATGGACGAGGGACGAGGGAAAAGACGTACAGGCCAAGATCAGGAGGGTCGCCCCAGAAGCTCCAGCTGTGTGGGGTGTGGCTGAGAGAGGGCAAATGGGCATCCCTGGCCTTCCCCACGCAGGGCCCTGAACCCATCTGCACCTCCATTTCCTCACCTGTGGAGTTGCGTTTTCCACAGGGCCCTATCCACCAGCCAGAGGTCAAGGTGGGCTGGAGGACTGCGCCTCTCCCATGAGTCGCACCTGAGGGGGACCTGTTTGCAAACTAGCATGGGTGTACCCTGTCCAGGGGAAAGAGGTGGGCCCCTGACAGGGCCAGGGCGGCAAGGTGTGGCCAGAGGCAAGTGTGAAAGTCCCCTCCTTGTAATGCCCACTGGGTTCCACCCACTTGGTGTCCCTAAGTGGCCAGCTCTGCAGCCATGACGGCGTTCCTGCTGTGTCAGGGCCCCCACCGTCTGGGGATACAGCCAGCCACACACCAGTGCTTGGAGCCCAGCCCAGACACGTGGGTTTCAGGATTGCCGGCAGAACCTTCCAGAAAGCTGTCCCCAACTGACAGTCCTGCTTAATAATCCAGAAAACCCTCACCATTTGGCAGTGCCAGCGCTGACTTCATGCTTTGGGCTGGCACGTCCTCCCCTCTAGCCTCTGTGTCTCTCAGGATGTCTGGTCCCTGCACTGTCCACTCCATCACCCCCACGCTCTTGGAACTGGGGCCAGGGAGCCCAGACAGGGTGTCACTGCATCCTCTGGCTAGCCAAGGCTTCTCACGGAGATGCCCCACTCCAAGGACACCAGCCTCCGGACATGGAATCAGCGAGGTCATGTTGGGGGGAGGTGTAAACACAGCTGGGGCCCAAATCAGCCCCAGGAACACCCCCTAGCTGCACTGTCAGGCACCTGCCGGTGGATGCCCTTTGGTCCCCACCTACCTGGCTGACCCACCCCACACTTGGCTCTTAATTATCCCAATTGCAGGGATATGAGAACCCTGGGTGCACGGCTGCCCCCCAGGAGCTGGGCCTCTTATCTGGGGTCCTGAGTGGCCTGCCACCAGCTGCCTTTTCTGAACCTAGGGGGCCATCAGTCCCCACTCCCACACCTCTGGGGTCTGTAGGGCAGGATTGTTGCCCCTGAAGAGGCTAGTGTCCCTGCTTCAGGGGCAGATGGACACCCAGGGGGCCCTGGGCTAGGCACAGCCACCAACCGGCACCAGGAGACCACCCGAAGAAGCCACCTGTCAGTGTGGGTGGGGCCTTGCACCTGGCCGTCCACCTGCTCCCAGGTAGTGAAGGTGGCCCTGAGCTGGGAGCTGGAGCTTCAGGGCTCAGCCTAGCCCCACCCCTTCCTGACCAAGTCACGGATCTGACAAGCCACACCCAGCACTGGGACTCTGTTAAGTCTGAGAAGTGGGTTTTTCCTTGGTCAACTAACTCACCCTGTAGGCCTTGGGGAGTCATACCCAGCAAGTTCCTAAGTTAACTGGCCCTTTATGCTCTCAGGGGGACAGGGAGGTGTGGACAAACTGGTCTGCTTTCAGAGGATTGAGAACTGTCAGCATCCCTGACCCAGTCCTGTTTCTGGGACGCCTGGGCTGGATGAGGGGCCTTCGGGAGCCCTGTCAGGTCGTGTCCTCTGCAGGATGCCGGTGTGCGTTTTCATCTATCTAATGGATTGCTTCTTCCTCTCGCTGAAACTGGCTCCAAAAAGAGATGGAAACTTCCCAAGTGGAGGCGCATTCATTAACACTGGGATGTCCTGTCCCCACGCTGGCCCTGCTGGCCTGCATCTGGTGGGACCCAGCCTCTCTGCTGCCTCCCCTGCCTGTGGGGATAAGGAGAATCCGGGGTTGGGGGCTTCCCATCCGACCAGTGCTTGAGTGGCTAGCTGGCCACTAGCTCCCCAGGAGGGGCCCTGAGTTAGGACTGGAACCCGGATGCATGGGGATGGGGCCCAATAACCTAGTGCTGCTGGCGCAGGCTGGCAAGCTACTGGTGTTACCAAATGGGGTCTCCCCCGGTTAAGGGGCTCCTAGCCCGAATGAGGGCCCAGGCCATGTCTCAGCTGTGGAGGAAGGGCTCCCCTTGCAGCCAGCTCTTGGGAGGCCTCCATGTGCCAGGGCATCATCTGGCCACGTGCTTAATCCTTATCTCAAAACACAACTCAGAATTACACCCTCCCCGACGCTGCCTCACTAATAAAGACAGCCTGTCCCCAAACGGCTCACACCCAGGCGTCCATGTCACATACAGCACCCACTCCTTCCTGGGGCCCTGATGCAGGCCAGTGCAAACTCCCCAGGTCCTCCTCCCTCCCGCCCTGCTGTGTTTGAGCCATGGGTCCAGACACCCTGTCGGTCTGGCTCCAGATCCCTCTTCATGACCTCCTTCCTACCAGACAGCTCCCTTCACGACTGTTCCCTTTTGATCACATGCTCAAAATTCAAGCGAGCTGAAGTCACAGACACAAACATGTTTTGTGCAGGAGAGAAAGCAGTTCCTGACAAGAGGCGGGGGGACTGGTGACCTCGGAGGTTCCGGAGCAGGAGGGGGGCTGGTGGGCCTCAGAGGTTCCGTGTAGGAGGGGGCGGTGTCCTGGAGGCCCGAGTGCCTGCCTGAGCAGGTGCGGAAGCAGCCAGCCCCGCAGAACACCTACTGTGTGCAGGAGCTGGGGCAGCACAGGCTGGCCCTCTGCTCGCTGCCCTTGGCTTGATGAAGGAGGCGGCGGGGAACCAGCGGGAAATGTCAGAACCCCGGACAGACGGACGGATGGGGCCACAGGGGGCAGAGGCTTTCAGGGCGGGCATTTGGGGCCGGGTTTTGAAGGGTGAGGATGAGTTCACTGATGCAAGCTGACCTTCCCACGGCTGGAGGGTGGGAGGACCGCTCTTTAAGAACCTGTCTGCTTCAGTATCCCCGGGATGCACACCGATCAGACGAACTGCTCTGACTTACAGACTGTCCCAGGATTGGGAGGTGCTGCTCGACCTGGCGTTGGGAGACTCCCGACAGGCGGGGTCCCCGGGTTGCAACTGGACTCAAGGTTCTGGGAAGGACGGCGAGGGCCGGGCTGGGCGTGCCCTAAGGCTCTCGTGACGCTGGAGGCCGACTGTGCGGGCTGGGAGCCGCGTGGGTGCGGGCCCGCCCCACGCAGAGTCCCGCGACTTGGATGTGGGCGGCGCAGGTGGGCGGAGCCCCGAGGGGAGACAGCCCCTGTCCGGAGTCCGAGTCCCTGCGGCCCCGGCGGCCCCGACGACTCTGCCATGGAGTTGTTGCGGCTCGCGCTGTTGTTTGGCCTGGCGCTGGCGCTGAGGCCCGGCCCGGCCCTCGGCCACCCGCAGCCGTGCGGGGAGCTGGCGCTCTCCGGGGGCTCGCTGCGCCTGGGCGCCCTC